TATGGTAGCTCTATTTTCAACTTTTTGAGGAACCTCCATACTGTTTCCAGAGTGGCTGCACCAGCTTGCATTCCCACCAACAGTGTAGGGAGGGTTCCCCTTTCTCTGCATCCCCACCAACATCTGTCGTTTCCTGTGGACATCCCCAGCTCTTCTAATAATAGACCTCTTTCTTCAGAAAAGCTTCCAGCTTGGAGTTGGTTTAAAATAACTAGAATTTGGGACCACAGACTGGTGCCAACTGTGATGGTTTCCTGGTGTGTTGACAAAGGGGCTGGGGAATTGTTTGGTCATGATTATTGGTCATTATCTTCTTGGTCACGCTGTACCAACTTGACATTTTTAAGACAGGAAACTGAGTTGCTGATAATGTTTCTACTTTCTCAAAGTTCCCAGTGAACCTTTCTTTTTCTCTGTTTGTGTTTGTGTTTTAAAGAAGGATATTCTTGGGGAAGGGAGATTTATTGTTTCTCATAACTGGGTTGCGTTGATAATCTACTCCAAAATGTAGGGTTAGAGCACCACCTGAGTCTCAGCTCTTCTGACAGTATTTTTAATGATTTTTTTTAAAAAAAGATAATGGTATTGTGCTTATTTTTTAAAGAGTCCTTATTATACCTAACAAAATAATTCTTTAATATCGTAAGATATCCAGTAAGTGCTCAGATTTCCAATTGTCTCATAAATGTTTTTCTGGTGGTTTATTTGAAACAGGAACTATGGGTCAATCTGTATTTTAAGACTCTAATTTTTTGTTAAAGAAACTACTTTGTCCTATAGATTTGTCTGACTGCTTGCCTCTGTAACGTAGTCCTCTGTATTCCCACTAGATTAGCACTTGGATCTAGAGGTTTCCCATATTAATGTCCCCCTTTTTTTTGCAATATTACTTTATAATTGATCATTTGTTCTTCCATCAAGAGGCAGATAATGTCTGGCTGATTCTACCTTTTTGGAACGTCAGCACCATTAATATCTACCACCTGGATTCAGTGATTCACTGGGGGTTGCAATATGATGACATGCTATCACTCCTTGCTCACTTATTAGCTGGAATATTTCTATAAAGAGAAACTTTCCCTCATACTCAGCTTGCTTACCCAGTGGTACGTGTGACCTGGGTAAATATACTTGATTTTGTTATTTATCAGTTGTCAAAATGGTGAGTTGGTCTGTCATGCTCTAGTGGTGACCAGTGAAGGTTTTTTTGTTTGCTTGTTTGTTTTTATGTAATGAATGAACTCATGAAAAGAGGCCTATTAGGAGAAGAGCTGAGGGTGTCCAATTGAAAAGTAAACTATCTTCATACATTTTATCAGTAAGCCTAAAGAAAACTTTAACCTATTATTCCATACCCTTTTGAGACTTTCAAAGGGAAAAAAATAAAAGCTTTCTCTAAAAAGCTAGTACATTATAGTTAATATACTTATTGATGCTCAAGTTGTGCCATCTTTGGCCAATGGGAGCCTCTTCAGTTCAGCCCCCAAGTCTTGACAGACCATGGCTTCCTTGCTGTCTGGTTGACAGGATGCTCCAGGCTCATCTTGTCTATTTATAATCCCAGACCTGGAATCAGCCATTTCTTCAAGGAGCCCTGCTTCCTTTAGGTGGAGACCATAATCTGGATTTCCAGGGTTGGAGAACATATTTCTTTTTAAGCAGGGCTCCACATGTTTGAAGACTGTTTTGACTAGAATGAAAGGAGTTAGCATTCTAACTTTAAAACTCTAAATATACCAGAGCTTTACTCTGAGACCCTGGGTGGGGGTTGGAATGATCTAGTTCTGTCATTTTCCCTGGTCTCCATAGCTATATTAAGATCCTCGTAGCGTGTAATAATGTGTGCTTCTCTTTTGTCTGTGTCTTATTAGGAATCCACACTGACATAATAACATGTTGCCTTTCACTTCCTATCAAATATTTGGCCAGATGGCTTTTCTCCCAGGCTGAATAGTCTCAGGGTGACCTCTGTGGACACATCCTCTGGGGGCTCTTGTTGGTAGAA